TAATATATTGGTTGGTATTTGAAAATCAAAAATTAATATTGGTTTCACCGCCAGATATATGGGTGAAAAAAATTAAGGACAATGCATATAACATTCCAGAACTACGCATTTATATCTTGAATTGGCCGTGAAGAAAATTCTGTAAAAAGTTTACTCTTTCCGGGATAACGAGTGAATTGTCTTATGAAAGATTGATTACTCCGTAGATAGAACGTTAATCGTTTGTACCGCCAACTTCTGTGGTAACTGTTTCAGGAGGAGTACGGCGGTCGCTGCTCGTGAGGTCCCAAGTGATAAATAAAAAGCAATCTTGGTAAACGTCTCGTCGTCGGCATCGCCAAAAGTCTTGCGGTTGTGTACTGTGCAGTGGCGTAAGGTGTAACAGACGATTATTATAGTACATTCTTCCCTCCGTCCCTTTCTCATAGACATTTATAGTGAGCGGTCGAGGAGGTAATAATGCGTCCAGAACACCGCGTTTATTAATATATTTTATTACGCCTCTCTTTCTTAAATTTTTATTTATACCAAAGGCAAAAATAGAAAGGTTTTGTATTTGGGAGATGACAAAGTGAAAAATGCATTAAATTTGCTCCCTTTTTTTTATATATGCTTTATTGAACCACCATAAATTTACATCTGTAACTACCAATAGGAATATAAATAACATGGCATTGAACTTTTATATATGTATTTACTATACATTTTATGATTTTTTTTTTTTTGATACTACGTTATTTATATCGGAATAAGTTGTTTAAGTTAATATTTAATACATCTGTTAACCAGTGCATTTATATAAACAATAAATTATTACTTAAGTTTTAGGTAGAGGTAACATGATCGGATTTATGGGAGGAATGAGTGGGCTGCAGCCCAGGGGCCCATACATATTTCGGGCCCCCACAGTTTTGTAAATATTAACAGTTAAAACAAACAAAAAAGAAATTTAATTTTAAAATATTATATAAAATACGAAAATGTAATCTTTTATTTGTAATTTAATTTTCATTAAAAGAATAGCAGTTTTTTTTTCGTCTTTTACCTATTATTGTAATAACGCGTACGTATGTTTAAAATCCAGATTTTGTGCCATTTTCAATCGCCTTAATCACCAACAATCTTTACAATATTATCGAATGCGTTTAATCTAAATTGAGTTCATCTTAGTATACCTAAACGATTTGGAATTATATTTCTAACTATTAGTAACCCGACGGTCAATGACGAACGACGAGTTTTTCTTCGTATATAATAAGATTAGTTTAATCGGTAATATCGGTTGTTCGATACTGTAACAGTACAAACTACAAAGGTAACGGAGTAAAGATAATTTTTACAAATTTAAAATGGAACAAGATCGTCATTAATTAAAACAGGTTCATATAAGTGATACAGTAAAACGTAAATTAGTTAAAGAAAAAGCTAAACTAATAACGAAATAATTACATAGCGGTAAACAATTCGGAAACAACTGATTATTTAAAACATCGTAAACGGCAATATTCAGTAAATAATAAAATTGTTTGTAGTTAAAAAAATTGGTAGGTAGTATTGGGGGCTTTAGGAATTTTGTTTAATACTATGTAGAGGTAGATGGGTATAAATTAATGTTCATTGCCACACCTAGACAAAATTAGTTCGGCGTCACTGGTTGTAGCAATGATAATAACCTTATTCCGTGTTTGACATCAATTGAGAGTTGTTTTAAAATACGCTTTTTACAACTTCTGAGTGGAGTGAGGAATGTATTGTTTCCATAATAATGATGTTTATTTTTTATTATTATTATTTTTTTTATCTGTGAACAACTTTTCTATCAGCCATTTTCCTCTGATTTACAATAATAACATTTTTTCTGAAAGAAAATGGGACTAGGAAGATATTTTAGGGAAGTCATTTTTTGATTTTCATAAATAAATGGGAAAAACGTAGGAAAAATGATTAAATAAGTATAATACTAAACAAATATTATTAAAGAAAGCGTTTAATGCATATTTAATTATTTTACAATACGACGTATATATTGTTGGCAATGCAACACTATCAAACAAACTCCACTCAGAATCGTTTTTCGTTAGCAATGGTTAATCGTTGCTTACAGATATATATTAAATTGCCTATAACAGTGGCTGCACCCATTCCCATTAACCTAGTAGAGCTTTTTTCATTTCTCATTTATTCAATTTTTATATTATTGTGACACAATAAACTTAATCAAATGCCTGAACTAGAATAATTACAAAAAAGCATATACTTATACTAAAAAACACGAACAAAATTGATTTATTTAGAATTAGAATGACATGAAATTAATTTGTGTATACAAATTACATTTCTATCTCATATAGAAAAAAAAAAAATTGTATGCTTTAAAAGTCCTAATTATAATCTATATTGGCATTAGTTGATTTTGAACTTATAATTACTTCAACGTTTTAGAAACATAATTTTTTTTGCCTAGCATATAGTGGAATATATTATAATATTTAAAAAAAATTTTTATATTTATGAAGACATATAGCTAATATATAAATTATTATATCCCTAGTAAGTAGGTAACTTATATAACTCCAATAGTGGACACGTATGGCGAATATTTTAATGAGTCACATTAATTCTCTCGAGTCTTGTGTGCTTTTTTGTGATTTTAGTATTTTACATTTTATATGATTAACTATACATTAATCTAAGGAAAAGTATTATGTAACTCTTTTTTATCTCAATTAATTCCAAGTGTTTACTAGAATTAAATAAAATTACCACAAAAATATACTTCTTTTAGTAGAAGTAGATAATCTGTTCCTAAATATTATAATAATGATTTGTGCCGTATTTAAAAAAAATAAATAAACACGTATACACATAAAATGCACAATTTAAATTTTACTGATAACCGGTTTTTACCAAAAATCACTGTTAAAAAATAATCTAAAGCCTATTAGATTCTTAAATACCTAAGATTACTAAGATTATTGACTTTTTATATTATTTTCAGATGATGAATTTTTGCTGACCTTGGTCACATATTAACATTCCCTAATTAAAATGAGTCACAGACTTAAACGGAATTTTCATTGATTGCTTATTATTCAGAGCTCAGAAATTATAGTACTTAAAATCTGCAAAAAACTTAAAAACTTAAAATAAGCTCCGAAAAAAATCTCAATATAGTAAGAGTTCAAAATTTTCTCTTCTAACAGCTCTAACTTATTAAATACTATATATTCTACTAATATAAAAATGATTGAGACAAAGAATATTTTTTTAAATACCCCCGTACAATTTTATTGAAATAAAATTACCTAATTAACTAATTATTTCAAATAATTACCTGTTGATTAACATAATCTAGTTAATGAAAAACTACGAATAGTTTAGATAGAAAAGGTGGAAAAATCCAAAAAATCTGACTTATGATTGTTGGATTCGAATCCAACAACATTGATTATATTACGGATGTCACACTGTAAGGTTGATAAGTTAAATATAGGTATTTAAAAAGAATAACTCCATATATTACCAATCGGATTTCATTTGAGTTCGATACTCGTTTCCGGTAGGGAACGTTAATACGCACCCAGTATCTTATTTAATATAAAGCCAATAAAATTTTAATCTAATAGTATTTACGACTTAATATTTACCTGCTATTATATAATATTTATTATACGATTAATTTTATAACTAGTTTAGCCGTATGTAAGTATAAAAACTTATTTTAACTATATTTTTTAGATTCATATAATTATAATATTTAAAGTAGAATATCTTTGTTTTCTCGTAAATAGTATTTGTTTGCGTACCAATGTACTTATGTATAGTTTTTGTGATTATAGTACACCGTATGCTTACTCGAGCTTATATACCTACACTTTATAACCGGCTCGGATTTAAATAAAACAACACAATAATTAATTTTATTTCGCAAAGCTCTGAAAAATCCATTTAGCATTAATACGAATTTAAATAGTTATTACGATTAAAATCGTACCAAAGCCTCTGTAAAACTGCCGATCTGCAACTGCCTACGCGTTTTCCAGTGTTCTCCACCGATTTTACTGCAGCGGTAATACAATATAGTATTATTATTATTGTATTATGCGCCCTTGGCTTAAAATGTTCTAGATTTTTTCTCCTCTATTATATACGTATTATAACAATATAACATGCGGTTATTCTGCTGTAAATGATATTACAATAATATATACTATTATTTGTTGAAAATGTTTGTATTTCGTGTTCTATCTATAAAATTATTATACAATTTCTCGTAGTCTTCGTCATCTAAAATTCGTTATACTTTTCTCATGTTTTCCGGGTGGAACGAGGTGGGATGTCTTTATTGTTGTGTCGGCACTATGTATAATAGCGCTTATTCTTGTTCGTCGTTTTGGTAACGGTTCTTGGACACTGTAGTTGTATACAAAGATACATTTTAAAATATCTAGATAAGAGATAATTGTTACAATAATATTATATATAGATAAAAGAAAAATTTAATTAAAAAAAATTTAACAATGCGTAGATCCATACTAGATTTGGTCAGAATTTAATGAATTTATTAAACCATACGAGGTCTGACCAATAAGTAATGAGACTAATTCAATAAAATACGTATATTTNCCACCCCTATACACTGGTTCCAACGTTTTTTCCAGCTCTCATAACATTTCTGGAAGGCTTCGACTGGAATGTCCTGAAGTACCCTCGTCACGGAATTCTGGATGTCACTTATGGATTCAAAATGCGTTCCTTTCACGGCCAATTTTGTTTGAGGGAACAAAAAGAAGTCGCAGGGTGACATATCCGGGGAATAGGGCGCTTGTGGCAACACTGCGATGTTCTTAGAGGTCAAAATTCGCGACACACTGATGGCACGATGGCATGGAGCATTGCCATGATGAAGGATCCACGCTTTTTCATGGACAAATCATTAGTTAAAATTTTTCTGACAGTTTCTCGTTTCAAATTAAGTTCATCAGCCAACATTCGAACGGTTAAACGCCGATCTTGATGCACGAGAGTGCGCACACGCTGAACATTGTTGTCAGTTCGAGCTTCAACTGGTCTCCCACTTCGCGGTTCATCCCCGACGCTTTCACGACCATTTTTAAAATTTTATACCATCGAAACACCTGAGCACGACTCAGGGCTTTATCGTACATTTCTATAACGGAATCGCCGAGTTTAACGCAAAATTTAATCGCGTACCGCTGTTCAATATTACGTTGTTCCATATTTGTGACACGCCTTACAAACACGTTGTCGAAAACATAACACAACTGGAAAACTAATTATTGTACGAAAATAGCGAGCACATGTATCGATAGAAGAGGGATGAGAGATTAACCGAACGAAGTTTCAGATTCGCAGTGTTACCACAAGCGTGGAAAAAAAATAGTCTCATTACTTATTGGTCACACTTCGTATTATAATGTATCTACATAAATTAATTTAAAAATTATTTTACTTATATTATTTTGAATAAATAAATACATATTTTATAAATTACGATTTGTACTAATATATTTAGATACATAATATATCTATAGATGATTTAAATTATTTATCTTGTATAACTTAGATAACTTATTTCTCATTTATCTAAACAAGAAGAATGATATAAATACAAGTATACCTATCTAGATAAACATTGCGATAGTAATTTATCTGGATAGATATAATTTAAATTTTTACTTTCATCGACGGTCAAGCTATTATATTTTGTTTTACTTTCACAATATTAGTACGATTTGTCTGTTATTGTTTCGCTGTGATAAGTTATTATACACTGAGGAGCTAACATAACTATTATTTTAATATTACAAATAATTAAACTTTTTTTAAAGCGTGTGTGTTGTCTATGCCTGTTAGGTTGTTTTCTTTTTAAATTTCAATTTTTAAGATTTCTACGAGTATTCTGCAATGTTCTATTGTAGGTAAGTTTTGAATTATTGATGAGCTCATACGTATTCCATTAACACAATCGAAATATATATTATGTCCAATGATGTATAGTTTATTGCAACAATGTAACCAGTTTAAATATTAATACAAAACATTATTATGTATTAGACTATATTTTGAGATAAAAATAATTGTTTGTTGGTTATTACTCCCTCTGGTATATAGTATGTTTGAGGGGTGTAATAATCGCCATACTACATCGGAAATTTATTACTTCTTAAAAATTATTATATTCCCCTCCGATAAAAATATCTGGGTGATAAAATATCCGGTGTAAAAGACATACCCCCTCCCCAAAGTCCGGTACCTTCTAGGACTCATGTGGTCTTGTGGTCCCGGACACATGAGGGGCCTCCGTAAATACGAAACATTATAGTTATAATGTTCGGGTATTGTTGCAGTAAAAAACTATAAAATACAATTAGTTAAGTAGACAGGTACTTATTCCACTGAAAAAAAACAAACGAAAATTGCATTTGAAAAATAATAAGTTATTCGATTTTAATTTTGTTTTGAATGTTTATCTTTCAACATTTTATTTCTCGTCTGTATTTTCTCAAAATTATATATATATACATAAAATAAAAACAAATCAATACATAATAGAAATATCAAATAACGAAAAAAATTAAAAAATAGTATTTTAAACGGGAAATGTACAACAAAATTGAAAATATACCTTAATTATAATTGTTGAACAAAGTTGTACGAAAAGTAGTTATATTTTAATTTATAAACAAACGAATTTAACATTTTTTAGTACTTAGCAACCTCATCCGAGACATACTCTGATAATTATTCTTTTTCACACATACACATACACACACAAAAACACACATACACACAAACAGCATATTATATAATATTAAAAGCGTGTTTTTTTTGCCTTCTAAATCGTTAAAATTATATATTTTCGAACGTCAACGTATAGGTCGTTAATCATAATGACGTTCTGCTAGTCGTTTATATTAATCGTAGTATACACTGTTCGGCATCGATTATTAATTTTTTATCACGACGCTGTTGTAATAATAATATAATGATGTTTCGAAAAACAAGAAAGCTGCAGAATTTAGCAGGAAGTAGGGAACGGATACTGTATAATATTATGTAGTATTGATAAATTACTAAAAACGAGTGATTTCTTTAAAAACGCGCATGATTTTCATAATCTTATTAATAACGAGTAATTTTACGAGAAAGTTGCTATCGATGTTACAATGAGTTCTACAATGTTATTATATATACACAAAAAAAAACTGTCCTTGTGTGTTCACTTTGACGATAATTATTGTTTGAGAAAAACCATTTAGATGGGTTCAATTTTTCCAAATTTCGGTCACCTTCACAACCATTTGTTCATATGTATTTATTCATTTATTTGAATTGGGGTTTAAAACCCAATCTCAAGTTTAATATTAGATTTAAAGTGTTAGGCCTTATGTTTTTTTTAAGAACAGCCTCTCTGAATAAAGAATCTGATGCACTTTCAGCAAAACATTTTCGACAGGGGTTTGAATTTCTTAACCTGAAAACTATATTACGCAACTTATCAGTATTTTGTACTAGGCCCGCAGTGTGTTCACTTCCTTCTTTATTTAATATTTAATAAGAATTATCAAATTATAATTTTCAAAATGGTAACTAATAACAATAATTACTTAGGTAATTAAAAATAAATATCTAAATATCATATTTTATTTTATAAATACAAACTTCCTAAAATGTAGTAATTTAATTAAAACTATTTCTCACCAAAATAAACGTATTATATAAATTATTATTTTATAAACACTACACTAAACAAATCTTAAAATATTTTTATTTTTCTCCAGTCACATTTTTCGTTGGTTTCTATTCTACAATTACATTATGTATTAGATATTTTCATTTGAGCTGATATTTTGTGATAGTAAGTATATATAGTACGTATATATATTTTTGTTTACTAAAGAATAATAGAAGTGAATCAAGGATTAAGTTAGGTTAATCTATAAATCGGAAATTAAATTTGCGATAAAACATCATGTCGGGTTAGTTATATAGAGACATATATTAAATTATCAGTAGATTATATTATAGTATGTATATAATAAACCAAAAAGGTATTAAAATAGAAAAATATAAAATATGTCTTATTTATTCTATCTTATTTATTTATTCGTCTTTACCTAATACAGTAAGACATAAATATATAATATATTCGTGACCTTGTAGAGCATTTGGTTGAATTTAAAAGAATATTTACATAACACTATTTTTTAGTCGGTATGGTAAATTTTGCGAAGGTTTTCAAATGTGTTTATCTCAATAAGTCGTAAAGCACATTTTACAATAACATACCGCATATTATACTCGTATTTATCTTTGTGTGTTTGTTGTTGCCGCAATGCCATGCAAAGGAGACGGTGTCGTGTTAACATTAGAAATTCGTCTTATTATTTATTTTTGTTACAGGTACCATATTTGAGAAATCGTATGATAAATAATTAAATAAAAGGTCATTAACGGTTTAAGCTGTTAAAAGTCAATACCAGAAAGGGGAGGATGTCGAGGATAATGCGTTTGTATATATATTATACAATGTGGTCTGGCCGGGCATGATGTTTAAAGTAAATATAGGTTGACCATCATCTATATAATAGTGGTTGGTGGTCACGCTAAAATGCTATTAACACTAGTTTGTGTGAAAATACCTTTGAAGTTTAACACTATTTCTTATTAATTATAATCCTTAGTTTTATTAATACATATTAAATACTATATAATTTGTGGTTATAGTTTTATATGAGTTTTATCTAATTCTGCGGTTTAAAGTTTTTTAAGCCACACTTATAAGAACATTATAAAATCTATTATTTAAATAGATAAGTCATTTTTATTCTTTATAAATTATACTTTGAATGTTTAGATTAATTATATTAGATTAGGTTTAAAAAGATCTGATATTGTTGATTAGTACGCAAATGTTGTATATGGGAAGTTGGAAAGGTAATATACATCATAAAGTTATTTTATTTGTATTTGTAAACAGCGATAAATCATTTTAAACAAAGTACTATTTTGAACAAAGTTCGGTTAAATAGTTTTTGAAATATTGTCATTATCACGTTTTTCGTCAAAATTTGAACTTCAAATCTTTACTTATTTTATTTACTATAAAGTATAATTAATAATGAATCTTGTGTTGTAATTTGTAATATCACAGTGTGCCGTAAATATTTGCCTTTTTTACGATAATTTTCTTTCCAGTTTTCAACAATTATTTTGAAACTCTTTACAAAAACAAAAAGTGACTTCTCTAACGCACTAACTAGATAAAATTCCCTTTCAGAAAAAGTACTACACTCCGGATTAAGATTTCTGATAAAAAAAGTTGTTGTTTATATGCACAAAACATCATTATTTACCAAATATTTCAAAAAAAAAAAATATGTCTTTATCCCGTCTCATATTTTAATATTTACTGATGATTCAATAAATAATGTTGATTTATTTCATTAATCGTTTTTCGATCTAACTAAACTATTTTAAAACAATATATTTATTTATCAATTCATTTGTATTATTTGTTTTTTCCCCGTTTACTTTATCTGAATTGTTCATAACTATTTTCCTCTTATATTATTTTTATTTGTCCTTTTTTTTTAATTTACAGTACTTATATTTTATACAAATCGGAATTTATTTTCCGTAATAAACGTATTTTCTTCATTATTATTGATAAAAAATAGTACAAATAAAAGAGATGATACTGAGGACTGGTGCAGACACTGCAGTTAGTAGATGGGTAGTTAGGAAAATGGGATACACAAAGTTACATAATTTATATCTGTAAGCAACGATAAACCATTAATAACGAAAACCGATTATGAGCGAAGCTCAGTGTCAAGCAGTTATTTAAAACAAATTATACAAAAACATTAATTTATGAATTGTATAGGTAGTAAAAAAAATACAACTTTAAAATAATGTGTATTTTCATGATAAAAACGATTGTTTAAATAAGATTAATAATAAAAACTCAATAATATCAATAAATAAATAAAAACGGTTGCCAATAATAACCTTATTTCAGATTCTGAGTGGAGCGAAGAAGCTTATGGTTTTATAGAGATGTTTATTTATTTATTTAATTTTTTTATTATCTGTTTGCAATTTTTTGACTAGAAGTCTTGCTCGGATTTCTACGTGTAGCACTTTTTCTAAAAGGAAATCGACGTAGTAAGGTACTTTTAAAGATCATTTTTCGATTTTCCCAAGAGTTTTC